TATCTTAATATTTTTCTTATTATTTAAGAGTCTCTTGAGATATAACCAAAACAAAAAAATTTTGTATGCTTTTCAGTTATTAAAAAAAACCAAAACAAACCATCAAGGTCAATTGACATCAAACATAGCCCACAAGGTCAATGTTATACAACCTAGTTTGGTGAGTAGTGATGGGTCTTAAAAGGCTGTGAGCAGCTGTCTAAGGTGCTGCTTATAGATTTTCCCCATCTAACACAAAGGAAAAGGAAGAACAACAAATCTGCCTAGAAACAATTCGTCCAGAGGATCAAGAACTAAATGGTGCCCAGCACTCTAAAAGGAATCACAGTAGAAGGTCCTGGATGATGATGATGATGATGATGTTGTGTACCATTGATAGTTGACCTCCAGTAGATTTTCAGAGGCCGTAAATTACATACAGTCTTCTCCCACAAAGCAACTGGTGGATTTGAACTGCGTGCCTTTGGTGTGTCAGCACCACTTGATACCACTAAGCCATCAGAGTTCAAGAGTAGAATGGGCTTTTCCCCAGTCCTGGAGTTGTGCAGGGGCAGAGGCGCAAGTGCATTCAAGATTCCACTCCACCCATAATCCACCGCCATGGACAAGGAAAAATATTGCTGCTGGAGGTGTAATGGACATTAATACTGCTTTATGATGGCCTAGCATGCAGAATCCGTGAAGCTTGCTAGAGCCTTGGACAAGCGCCAAGCCCATCTTTGTGTGCTTGTGTAATAAGCCTGTAATGAGCTTGTGTATGACAAGTTAGTAGAGTCCCTTAGTGCTGAATACCAAACCAATCTGATAAAGGTTAATAATAATAAGAAACTGGGGTGCGGGTAGGCCTCTGAAAAACTGACTGAGAAGGAAAGCCCCACAAAGTAGCTGGCTGCAGTTGTGTCATCGTTGAGGACTATGGCAAAGAATCCCAGACCAAGGATGTCATTGAAGAGTATTTCAAATGAAGAAATGAAATCAATAAGCAACTTGGCATATTGGGGACTGGGAGGCAGGGTGGAGGGAGAAGAGTGGAATGGACAGGAATCTCAAACTCTGTACTCTGAAAACAAGAAGTAGAAGGTCTCCAGCTCTCTAAAAGGAATCACAGTAGAAGGTCCTGGATAGTGTGGACAAAACATATGGAAAAGTAAACAGTATTAAAAATGACAGGTAGGTATACTGGCCCAACAGGGACTTAATCTTTCAAACCGGAAACAAAATTCACACTCTGACTTGACTTTCAACCAAACAACTGAGGCCAATAAGGTAAATTAACAACACTGAGGAGGTACAATCAACCTTTCATGATCCAAAGGGCAGCATTTGTGCAAGGTTACAAAGTTCAGCAGGCAGGAAGGGGTAGGTTAGAGGATTAATGGAAACAAGAATTAGAGGGAGGCAGTGGGATGTGTGCACATTGTATGTATTGTTGTTGTTGTTAAGTGCTGAGTTGTTTGCGACTCATAGCGACCCTATGTACAACAGCCCTAAACCCTGCTCTATCCTGTGCCAATCGCATTGCCTCTGACACAGCCATCCCAATTACCCCAGTCACTGAATCAATCCACCTCATAGAGGGTCTTCCCCTCTTGTGCTGTCCCTCCACCCTACCAAGCATGATATCCCTCTCCAAGGACCTGTCTCTCCTTACAACATGTCCAAAGTATGTCAGACGAAGCCCCAGAATCCTTGCCTCCAAGGAGTAGCTTGGTTTAACCCTCTCTAGGATGGATCTGTTTTCTTGGCAGTCCATGGTACATTCAATACTCTTCTCCAGCACCACAGCTCAAAGGCATCAATTCTCCTTCTATCCTCCCTAGTCATTGTCCAACTCTCTGATGTATAACAAGTGATTGCAAAGACCATGGACTGTATCAGGCGCACCTTAGTCTCCAGAGACACACCATTGCTCTTGAGTACTTTAGAGAGGTCCCTAACAGCAGACTTTCCCATAATTAATGCTATTTTATGGAAACACAATTGAGTGGAAAACCAATTAGTTTTGTAAACTTTCCCAGTAAAACTAAATAAATAATTTACAAATATATCTAGCTTTCTTTGCGTGAGCAGATTGGTGAATTTTCCAGCCAAGCTCTTGGGAGGTGAAGTGCTGAAAGGGTTAAGCTCTCTAAATACCTCTCAGTCAGTAACAGCTCCCACAAAGAAGGGCAGACCCAGGGCACACTGGTTGTTGCTTAGATGAAATCTACCTCCTCAATTTGACTCCTGCTAGGCTCCGTAACATGGAAATTCAAGCACTTTCATTGTTGGGGGTTTTATTAGGATAAGATGGGATAGTGTATGTAAAATAACTATCTCTTATTCCAGGGTCTGGCATAGTATTGCTATTCAGATTTTATGTGCATATTTAATATTGACCATTAAATTATTGTCAGTTTCCCACACTTTTTAATAAATTGTGCAATTTTGTACATTTTGTTGCTTCATTTTAAATTCTGAAGTCAGAGGATACCATCATTTTGATGTCCTGCCCCCATTGTTTTTTTGAAAGGATTTTGTCACCTATTGCTGTACCAAGGTAACTCATGGTTGCTGTGATGCTAACACTGTGACACTGATGTGCCAAATATTATAATGGTTCCCCATGGTGGACAGTGTTTGGTAGAGCTTCCCGATTAAAACAAACTTGGAAGCAGGAGTGGCATCCACTTCCAAAATGGCTTGCCTCTGGAAACTCTATGAACACGGAGAAATGACCAAAGTTATACAATGTTCAGGTCTTTCATTCATAGGTTCACTATGAGCCATCTATGACTCCACAGTACTTAACAACAACAATAGGTTCCCTCAGACCCAAGATCTCCCCCTTTAGTTATGTTAATGCATTTAACCACTTCTTCTGAATCCTGTGGGTTCTGGAGGTGATCTGTGTGTTTGTATCATGACTGTCTCTTCTGGGGGATGGGAGGGCAGTGGTGGTTCCATGGTGTCATTTTCACCTTCCAGGTGGGAGACCTAGGTTGGATTCCCAGACTGTGCCCTTCGTGTGCACCCACCATTCATCTGTCAAGGGCGGCTTGGGTGTCGCTATGATGCAGAAGGAAATTTCAGCAGAGCTTCCAGCCTGAGAAGAAAAGCCTGGTGATCTCCACTGAAAAATAAAGTGGTGACGATTTTAGTGCTGCAGTCCAACCTGTAATTCATTCCATTTTGTGTGAGGTCATCAGAAGGATTGTATGGCAGCTAATATCAACTGTGTTAAAAGAAATTTGTTGCCTGGCTCACCAACTGAAGAGTTGGTGTAGACTCAGGCTGGCTGGATCCAAAGCTTCACGTGGCAGCATCAGATTCCCGTCTTCCTCCACTGCCTGCCCTGTGTTCTTTTACACTGACTTTCCGGTAGGAAAGACCTTCTCCAACCTAGCAGCCAGAATTCCAGGCTAACATTCTACTTGTTCAACACACTTAGCAAAAAGAAAGCCATCCTTTGAATAGCCTACTTGGAGCCACCAGACCAAACAAATATCTGTGGCATACTTAAAGACTGACTTAACCGGCATTCTTTTACCTGGAAACCTTAAGTCCAGCATAAATGCTAGGATTGAAACTGCAATTTGGACCTTATGTTCATCTAGATTCTTGTCTTTGATCAGGCAAATGGAGTATGTCCTTGCAATGAGGTGAGAATAGCCAGCCACACCCAGTTCTTATGTACTGATAGTGTTCAAGGGGTTCTCCTAACCCAAGAAAAAGAAGGAATATATCCTGTGCAGGCAAAAGTAACAGGAGTCCGAGCCAATGACTTTCAGGGTTCCAGACAACAGCGAATTCTCAAAGCCCATGGTAGTTACATGGCCTGTGCAAGTTTACAAAACATTTCCACACTGTGTTTTCTTTTGCCACCAGCACCTCTGTAAGCTGGCAGAGCAAGTATCATAAGCATACCCCTCCACCATAGACACCCCTTTCCTTTCCAATGAGGAACATGACAGTGAGGGTTGCCTGGTGGTGACCTGTCCCTCCCCCAGTGACAGATACGGAGCTCTGTAAGGACCCTGGTCTGACCCCACCCTGCCTGACTTTTATCCTCCTACCAAGCGTTGTTCCCTTGTCTGGTCATTACTCAGATGTGAGCCCCTTTCTGGGGAGCGCGCAGCCTGGTGCAGGCCCCAGCTGACCCGAGCGTTTCCTGAAAGGAGAGGAAGCTAGGGGGGAGAAACCTCATAAAGGGCTTTTTTTTTTTTTTTAAGGAGATTTAGCTGAAAGGCAAGGCACCCAAGCGCTCAGCAGCTCATGATTTGAAGTGATAAAGATTCTGTAGAGCAGCAAAAATCATGAGGCCTATGGATGTGTAAATGAGCCTGGGGAGGAACTAATCAGAGGGTAAATTGCCAAACAGAGAGGGGCTGGGAAACGAGCGAAGGGAGAATAGTGAATATTTCAGTGTCTTTTCGTTCATAAGAAATTCATGAGCCACGCTTATGGAAATGTTGGTTTTGGGTGGCGCGAAAGAATTGTAAATATGTATAATATGTAAATACCTTTTATAATAAAAACCCATGAAGATAAATGAGCCTGTCTGCGGGAAAAGCTGTGAGCTGTTTAAGATGTTAATGCAGCTGTCGTCACTTTGGAAATTACCATAATGCTTACAGGGCTTTCAAAGTTCCCGAGCCTTTGGAAAGAAATGCATAAACACTAGCCAGGAAAACATCACACACAAACCTTTTTTAAAAAGTATGAAGGAGGCAATGTTGGTGAAAATAGACTTTGGAATTGGCCCTCTACGGGTTAGAACAGGACTTCCTTGCGCCGCTCAGAGCGCGCGCCCCGGGCGAGTCTTGGGGCCGACCCCTCACCACGGCCAAGGACGACGAGGAGTATCGTGCGCGCTCAAGGACCCCGCTTGACGGCCCCGTTGAAGCTCCCGGTTTCAAGCAGGCCCTGGCGCAGGCCCGAGTCGCAGCTCTCGTCCCCGCCGTCCCCGCCCCGCGTCGGCCAGGCCTGCCGAACGCCCCGCCCGGCTTCCTGGTGCCGCCATGGCGCGTGCGGCGGGGTGGTGGGCGCCCGTCGTTTGGAGGGCTTGCAACTTGCTCATGGCCGCCTTCTTCGCGCTGGCGGCCTTTGTGCAGGTCAGGCGGGCCGCGGCAGCACCCCGAGAGCCCACGCTCGGGACGGGCGGTGGGAGATCGAGCCCCGAACCCCGAACGCCGCCTGGGCCCTGGCGAGTTGTGCGCCGGAGACATAAAGACGCACGGCCGCCACGCGGGTTTATGTCCACAGTCTCCTTTCGCTCTCCCACCTGAGACCTATTTGTGCTTTCTCTGCGTTTCTGCCTTCATGCCCTCTGCCCCTCTTTGGTTGGACACACACTCCTCCCAAAAGCTGCCAGGCCTCCCTTCCTCCAAGGTCCCGCTGGCTGAGCAGCAGCGGCCCCAGCACCTTTCTTGATTTGCACCCTGTGGATGCAACTGAACACAATTCTGACCCTAGGAGGCCAGAGCAGAGAGCGAAACTCTCTTCAAAGCATATTTATACTCTCAAGTCAGCTTTTGGACTCTCTCCATCATCATTTTCCTCATTACCATGGAAAGATTCGTAAAATATCCTTTCTAGGTTTGGCACATCCTCTTCAGAGTTCGTGTGCAGTTCATTTTTAAAATATGAAGCTGTATGTTAAAGCCATCTGTTGTGTTCAGCCGGAAACCATCATAAACCGCTACAGAGTCTGCCTTATTCATATTTTACCCTCTGTGTCTAGCAGTGTCTGGCGCTGAGCTCAACATAAGTTGACTGAATAAAAGAGCAAACCAAATGAATGTAGGAACGGAACCTCGTATAGTGTGCCTGCTAATGCTTTGTTGTTTTGAAATTTCAGGTAAATGATCCAGATGCAGAGCTGTGGATGGTGAGTGTGAGCTGTTCTGGGAACTCTTCTCCATTTACAGCAATTATGGAAAAGTCAGGAAGCACCCAAGTAGTATATCTCTTTGTTCTTTCTCTGCATTCTTATAAACTTACAAATCAAACCCTTTACACAACTCTTTTCTCTAAAAATACTGGAGGGCAGAAATAAAGAGTGTGTGTGAGTGTGTGTGTGTGTGTGTAAAAGTTTGGAAGTTTCTGGAGACATAGGTTTTCTCAGTATTCCCTTTTCTCAAGAGGACAAACAGTGGACCTCTTGAGATAAGTTGAGTTCATCATGATTTTCTAACCAGAAACTGAAAACATTCAACTAGGAAATGGTAAGTCTTAAAAGTTTATGCTTCTGCTAAATCAATGCGTTATATCTGTAGAAAGTAGTTGAAGTCTGTGAAGTCATTGAACACTGGAATTGATTTCATGAATGCTCAGGTTTGAGTCTTTTGGAGGAAGGGGAGACAATCTTATCTGTTTTGGAAATATCTGCATTTCATCCAATTTCTTTTACAGCAAATATACAAGCATATATTAGCAATAAAAGGGACCAGCTTTTCTTTTTTTCTTCATAGCCTGAGGGCAACATAACAGGTTCCAAGTGGGGGACCTTTCCTAGATGGATCCTTTGAGGAATGTGTGCATGAATGAGTGACTGATTACTAGGTCAGTGGACCTTGGGGCTGCGACTGTTCCCTACTTCACCTTACTCATGGTGGATATATATTTGTATCAGGATGAACATAACAGCAAATAATGAAAATCTAATTAGCAGCAGGTTATAAAAACAGAAGACATCTAAGGTAGATGCTTAATGGTTTTCTCTGCCACCTTCAATATTCTATCTCTTTCATGCTTTATAAGTGGCTGCTGCAACTCCAAGCATTTCACCCTCAGAGTACCTCAAATAGAAAAAAGAAGCAGGAGGTGGAAAACAGAACCAAAAATTATGCTTTTATGAAGGAGGAAAATGTTTTCAGTTTGTACATAACCAAAACCTACTGCCCTCAAGTTGGTTCTAACACATAATTACCCTGTTATCTGAGATTTATTCTAATTGGTCAGCACTCATGAATATTGGTTATAAAATACTCATTATTAAATGTATTACTTTTATATCAACTTTGTCTCTAGAAGATTTCCCTCTTCTCACTAGAATATCACCACTTCTAGCTATGAGTTTCAGTGGCCTCATAGGTAAGGAATTGTGCTGCCAACCCAAAGGCAGGCACTTTGAATCCAGCAATTGCTCCAAGGGAGAAAGATGGGCCAACAGTCTGCTTGCAAGAACTTTGAAACTCCCTGCAGGGTCAGCTATGAGTATGTGTTCTAGCTGTAAAAAAGACTGGCAGTTTCAGTTCTTACAGTGTCAGGCAGACAGGACAAAATTAGAAATGGCTCCCATGGTACTCAATGTTTGATTTGTTGAGCTTTGTTTGTTTTCTTTTTACTGGTACTCAGTGATTTGCTAAATCAAACGAATACATCTTAGTACTATGATACCATTGTTGTTGTTATGAGCTGTTGAGTTGCTTCTGACTCATAGCCACCCTATGTACAATAACCCTGAAATCTGCTCTATCCTGTGCCAACCTTATTGTGTTTGACACACCTACCCATATTACCCCAGTCACTGAATCAGTCCGTCACGTCAAGGGTCTTCCTCTCCTGTTCTGTCCCTCTACCCTCCCAAGCATGCTGTCCCTCTCCAAGGACCGGTCCCTCCTTGCAACATGTCCAAAGTATGTCAGACGAAGCCTCAGAATCCTTGCCTCCAAGGAACAGCCTGGCTTCATCATCTCCAGGACAATTGAGTTTAAAAAAAAAAATCACAAAAAGATAAAACACCATTATAAGAGAGTTCTCCTTAATTCATTTTACTCTGCATTGTTTTAATTTGTGTATTAGAAAGCAACTACTTTCAGTCTCTCTGCCTTCAATTTTTCCACCATTTCTTGCAAGCTTGAGAAAAATATTTAAATAAGGATTAACATACCAAGATTGCCATGGGATATCTTTACTTAACTGAAGAATTAGTTTGTTCTTTGTTCCAGTATACTGAAATAAGGTTGTTGTTGTTGTTGTTATGTGCCGTCGAGTCGCCTGCGACTCATAGCGACCCTATGTACAACAGCCCTAAACTCCGCTCTGTCCTGAGCCAAT